CATGCTATGTGTTTACATCCATCGCTGCCATGTTTGTAATGACTTATCATGAGAACAAACGTATTCACGTGACTTTAATAACATTTATTACTTAATGGAAACACTGCAGTTGTGAAACTGTGTTTTTTCAACATTAACAGAATATCAACAAAGTTTTGYGCACATTTGCAATGGAAACACAGCTAGTGTCATTTATTCAGCCTTCAGAGGATGTTGTCCCTGAATTTGGACACAACCATTGAAACAAATGAGACAAATCCACACTTTCATTCACGCCAAGGGACAATTCAGGTTCACCATAAGTCTATGCATGCTTTTACTTAATTGGGAGGGTGACCGGAGTATCTGCAGAAAACCCACACCTGCAGGGGAGAGACGTGCAAACAAACATTTCTTTCAGGACATCAAATTGTAGTTGTTTCTAAAAGCAAACACATCTTAGCATGTCCTTTCACGATTCTTCTGTCCTGAATAAAACTGTGACCTGCAGGCGTGCTTCATAACAACAATAAGAAATCTGAACCCATCCTCTGGTTGCTTTAGCAGGGAAGCTCATAATGTGGCTGAGTCTTAATTCATGGGTTGCAGCCAGCGTGAGGCGCATTTGTTGGCTGCTTAGACCACCACCCCACACCGTAGGCTGTCCCAATTCGTAGGCGTCTACACATGCGGCCGACAAAACCACAAAATCGTCATCTGCATCAGAGTATCCACATCTACAGTATTCCAGAATTCACTGTGCTGTCAGCAGATTAAACTGCAAAACAAAGAGGGCAAAGTTTTCATTTTTTAATTTCACAGCAGAGTTTTTTTTAAAGGCAGAGTTTGGAAATTTATCACGGACCTAAGAATGTACATTAAACTTAGCTAAAGGAAGTTTTGTTGCAATGAGATGTTCAATAAAATGCAGCTACAAGAACTAATACTGGAGCTAAACTCAAATTATTAATGCTTTTTATGTATTTACTTGTAATGTTTTTCTGTTAAAACTGAATTTTATTAAGTTATACCTTAAAAAATCAACTGAAGTGATGTGATATAAAACGTATCACAATGGTAACGTGCTTACCTTTACTGAATCCACACTTCTCATTTTTCCTTTCAATCAAAGCAGCTTTTCTCTTGGTATTTGAGTCCACATGACATGTGGCAGACAGATGATGAAACTCAGTCCTTCAGTTGGTTTATATCAGATATCCCACTCAAACTGGCCCTGATTAACGCAAGCTGGAAACGCCTTCTTTAAGTAGAGGGATAGAAACAGTTTGTCATGACTTTTATTTGGGTTGCGTGCTGGTGGCAGAACAAGGAGTGGACCTACACGCTTATCTAATCAACATGGAAACATGGTTTGTGTACTAAAATTGCATCTTACAACTTTGTTGTGACAACTGAGTGAAGACTAAACTTTTATATTACTTTAAATTCTCTCCGCTTTCTGCTTTTGATCTCAGTTCAGCTGTTTAAAAGGAGTCCGAAAACCCGTAACTAAAAAAAAAAAAAANATTTTAGGTATCAGGGTTAATGGTTAATTTTAGGTACTAGGGTCTGGGACAGGATGTCTAAAGTGAATAAACGTAATTTCATGCTTTGGGACGGTAGTATTTGTGCATTTTCTACACTTTCAGAAATTACGACAACAGATTCCGCCCCATCCCGTCAAAATATGACGCAAGGGGGGTACCTGATGCKTCAAAATTGGACGCAAAGGGACCTTTGAAAAACGTCAATATGTGACGACTCGGGAGTGAGAATGGGTTGCACAGTCATGTTGACATCAGGGCAGGTTTAAAGACAAGGTTAGCACTGATTATCATGCTTACTGTTTAGCACTGATGCCAGACAAAAAGAAGGTCCCGGGTTCGGACCTGGCCTCTTTCTGTGTGGAGTTTGTATGTTCTTCTTGTGCTTGTGTGGCTTTTGTTCAGGTACTCCAGTTTCCACCCACAGACCAAAACATGCATGTTAGGTTATCTTCATGTCCAGGCCTCTCTTGCAAAAGAGATCTGTAATCTCAATGGGATTTTCCTGATTAAATAAAGTTAATAAAATAATGATTGACAGTATTTATATTAAACCTAAAATAAGCACAGAAAGAACAGAAATGGATGTGCTTTACCCAAATGACCACCTACATGTTCATACAACTTCAAAGATAAACTTTCAAGAAGGTTCAAATATGATGAAAATTTTCATCACTGAATATAAATGGTAAATGGACTGTACTTGTATAGCACCTTTCTACCCAACCAGGACACTCAAAGTGCTTCACACTACAATCTGTGTCCTCATTTATCCATTCACACAGCACTTTATTAGGTCTCTACAAAGCTAACATGTACAATCATCTATGGAGACTAATCAGTGCCAATCATCACACATCAGAGGCATTGGGGAGAAGTGTCGTGCTTATAGACACAACAACTGAGACAGCTGGACGGGGGATCGAACTGGCAACCTACTGGTTCCAGGACAACTCCCCACTCCTCCACAGCCGCCCCATAAAGCTAAAGCAACAAGCAAAATTAGTTTAAACAATTTTTTAAAAGATCCATAAGAAACAGTCTGTCAACCTTTCTAGCAAAAATATTGATAGTCTAAATCTTAACCAGATAAAACAACTAGTTTTTGCTTTCAACAACTATTCATCTGATAGAAAAAAAAAAAAACAACACATCAGCTTCAGTGCAAAACTCCACCCATTTTTTGACAAAAACAAAGGTTTATGAATTTTTGGTGAAAATACCCCACGTTGACTGATGAGGCATTAAATAATCATTAAACCATCAACATTTTATTTAAAAAAATAAACCATACAATTGTTTCAAGGTGAAAATCTTCAGAAGAACCATTTGATAGTTTACTAGCCATTTTTAGTCATGCATAATTATTTTTATAATTAATATGCTGCATCTTTCTGCATTGTAAAGGTCAGAGTGAAGGTAGTCATGGATATTTAACTGAGAAGTTGTTAGTGCAACAGATTTAAATTTCACATTCTGAACAGTGTCAGTAAACACTTGTCTTTTCTAACTTTCATCCAGTATATTTTTATTTTTGGCATCTATAACAATCCCATTTATCTTATCTTCTGTTCAACTGATTTTTATTTTTTATTTTTAGAAAATTTCTGTAAAGCCACAATGTTGAATGGATTCAAATTTCAAGACACCCCCAATGGCTGGTTTGCTTATTCGGAAGAAAAATGTCTCGTAGGAACCAGTGGAGGTAAGAAAATAATTATTAACATCTATGCAGCAGATGGATCATATTGTTCTAATGTTTCTGGAAACATCTCCACTCAGCTGGTAATTCTAAGGCTTCAACTAGATGTTTGCTCAGAAACGGATCACTGAGTTTTGAAACTCCACGAAAATTTAAGTGTGACCTGACGCTTGCAGACATCCAACAGAATGTGAGAAATACTGTAACTTTTAAAGAAAACAGAGTCAGGATGTGTTTTCTAAAGTTGAGACATTGGTTAACAGAACTGGACATTTTATTTTTGTTCTTTAGATCACCAGTGGAGCAGACTTAGAGACTCTGGCATCCAGTGCCCAGATCCTGACGTCCAAACCTGAAAACCTGCAATCTGAAAATGTTACAACAGCAGCTCAGATCGCCAACATGCTGCTGCTGTCTCCAAATGCCACAGAGGTACGATCAATCAGCAGCAGCAGGACAAGAGACTCTGAGTTTCTGTCAGGTTTTAGTTTGAAGAAATCTGAAAGTAAAAGAGTTTTGTTTCCTGTTTACAGGGTGTTAGGGTATCAGCGATCGCTACAGTCAGCCAGCTGCTTAACACCAATGTGAAGAGTGATACGACGAAAAACAACGCAACTCAGGAGTAAACAAACTAATCTTTACTCAATGAAATAATCACTAATGAAAAACAGCATATCTTGAGTTAAATGTCAGATTTATGATCTGATGTTGTCAAGAAGAACTTAAGTGATCACTGTAGCAGATCGGTAGGTCAAGTTTTAAAGAACCCAAAAACCAAAAAAAAAATACAATTATTCTGTAGGTTTTTAATATCTTTACATCTACAAGTGATTCAAACTGAACTATCCATCACTGACGGTGATGTTTGTTGTGTCCAGGCTGACACTGACGCTGGATACACTCTCGGTGAACCTCAGTTCCAGTTCCAACATCTCTCAGGTGGTTCAGCCAAACCTGGTGGTCCAGTCAGCTCAGGTCCAGGCTGCAGACTCTCAGGGAGTTCAGTTCACCTCCATCCAAGGTGAGTGGGAAGCGACATCATAAAAATCTACCAAACAATCAATTTCATTGAAGTTAAACTTGTAATAATTCTTTATGCTGCATTTAGGGGCTTCTGGCAGTTTTGTGGCTAACAGAATTCAGCTGAACACCAACGTGTCAAAGGTTACCGTGGAAAATGGTTTCATAGCTGATGCTCTGGTTTATGTTCAGTTCCCACCTGGTAATTTTTCTACAGCATAAACTAACGTTATAAACTCAGATATTTACAGTTTAGTTTTAGTTTCTGATTTTCAGTTATTAGTAACAAGTAACAACAACTAACAAGAATCTGTTCCTGTGGTGTCTGGATAAGGTGTCCGAGGTCATCAGAAGTCCTCAAACATTTCTTTGGGCTTCGTCCTCTACCAGAATGACCGGTTCTTCCCATCAATGCTGTACAAGAAGCAGCGGGCTACCATCAGGGTCTTGTCGGCCAGTGTCGGGGGTCAAGACCGCAGCGTGGTGCCGCAGCGTGTGGAGATGCTGTTCAGACCAAGAGTAAGAAAACCAAGGATACAATGCGCCATTAGGGTTGGGCAAAATCTTAATGTGTGCAATTAATTGTCAGAAATACTGTCACCTAATAATATTTGCCACTTTGAGATTACTGTAATTAGTGCTGCGTGATGACGTATTTGTGGTGTGCAACACACTCATAATCAGTGAGCAATGTGAATCCAATGGCGAGAGGTGGGGAGGAGCAGCTAACACTAACCCTAACATTGCAAACTTGTTTAAAACCCTGCCCAGAGTATGAGTAAAGTCAGAAAATGCTGACCGAGGCCACATTGGTGTTCTCAATCCGTCCCTTATGAGCAGCAAAGTAACTACTGCTGCAGTGTTGCAGGGTGGGCCATCACATTCTGTCCATCCATTTGTCCGTCCGTTTTCTGCCACTTATCTGAGATCGAGTCACGGGGGCAGCAGCCTAAGCAGAGAGACCCAGACTTCCCTCTCCCCAGCCACTTGGGCCAGCTCCTCTGGGGGAAACCCAAGGCGTTCCCAGGCCAGCAGAGAAACATACAGTAGTCCCTCCAGCGTGTCCTGGGTCTTCCTCTGGGCCTCCTCCAGTGGGACGTGCCTGGAACACCTCAGCAGGGAGGCGTCCAGGAGGCATCCTAACCAGATGCCTGAGCCACCTCAACAGGCTCCTCTCGACATGGAGGAGCAGTGGCTCTACTCTGAGTTCTTCCCGAATGACTGAGCTTCACACCCTATCTCTAAGGGAGAGCCTTGACACCCTGCGGAGGAAACTCATTTCGGCCGCTTGTATCCGCAATCTCGTTCTTCGGTCACTACCCAAAGCTTGTGACCATAGATGAGGGTAGGAACGTAGACCGACCGGTAAACCGAGAGCTTCGCCTTCTGGCTCAGCTCCCACTTCACCACAACAGACCGGTACAGCGCCCGCATTACTGCAGATGCAGCACCAATTTGCCTGTTGATCTCCCGCTCCATTTTTCCCTCTTTCGTGAACAAGACCCTGAGATACTTAAACTCTTCCACTTGGGGCAGGACCTCCTCCCCGACCTAGAGAAGGCACCCTACCGGTTTCCGGCTCAAGACCATGGTCTCGGATTTGGAGGCACTGGTCCTCATCCCGGCTGCTTCACACTCGGCTGCAAACCGCTCCAGTTAGAGCTGGAGATCACGATCTGATGAAGCCAATAGGACCACATCATCTGCAAAAAGCAGAGATGTGATCCTAAGGTCACCAAAACAGATCCCCTCTACACCTTGGCTGCACCTAAAAATTCCATAGAAGTTCATAAAAGTTGCGAAGAGAATTGGTGCCATTGCATATTGCAATATTAAAATTACTAGTTTAACAAAAAAACAAAGAACTTAGTTTATAAGTATAGTTTTAGAACAAAGGATAAATATTTTAGAGTCTAAAATATGCAAGTGCAACTTTTATTTATTAATTGTTTAGCAAGTTGTTAGGAGAGAAACAGAAAGGGTGACAACGATTTCTGTCTACACTACACTTTTACCAGCCGGTTTGGATGTTATCACTCCATTAAATGGACGTTATTAGTGGTTATCAGACCCACAGAATGGCTTCAGACTGTATCGACAGTGCCCTCTAGTGGGTTACCAGTGTCATATATGTTGGAATGCAACAATCTGCTACCACCGGAGTCCGGTCTACTTTATCGTAGCCCAAAAATTAACCTAGTGGCTTTATGCCTCATATTAACCAGACTGCATAAAAAAACCTTAGTGGTTTAATGCCTCATATTAACCAGATTGCATTAAAAAAAAACCTTAGTGGCTTTATGCCTCATATTAACCAGCTGACAGTCTGAAGCCATTCTATGGGAAGTAGAACCCGCTAGGCGGCACAGTCGGGACAGTCTGAAGCCCTTCTATGGGACTGATAACGGCTAATAACGTCCATTTAATGGATGATAACATCTGAAGCAGGTGCTTTTACCAAGTTGTGGCAGATCAGTTATTGACCAACATTTATTCACGCTTTTTAATCAGACTCATATTTACCGAAGTGTGAGTGATCGTATGACATGCATGGAATTCTTATCTCAGACCAAAATACTCAAAGATGAGGAACCAGCTTTGTCCTTTATGGTAATTTACTACAAAAATATAGCAAGAATCTATTTCATTGAATCAATTCAATTCAAATTTAAAAATACTTTATTGAGGAAAAAGAGAACAGTCAGTTATATTTATACTGATGTGAAAATAATGACAGTTCAGAAATTATCTTCAGATCACAGTATGTTATACACAGTTGAAACAGAAATATATTTAAGAAGGAAAATCATGTTAATGATTATTTTCCTTTTTTATAATAATGAATCACAAAGGATTTAAACAGATTGTCATGTCAGCATTATTTGCAGCAAAATAGAATTTGTCTTTAAGAAAGCTTTTTCAAAACAAAGTTTAGTTAGTTAGGAGACATGACTGGTGGTGGTCAAAATGGTGAAAGATAATAGATAATTTAGGTGTGTTCATTTACCTTAATACGTGTTCATAACCAGTTGGATGTTTGAATGTGAAAGAGTTATACAACCACCAAGAGTGCTGGGCTGGAATGCACGTTTAATGAGGGTCTCTGCTCTCTCCATGCATCTGCCGCAAAAACTGGAAATTGTGTTACTTATTATACTTTCTTTAGAATTTGACCCCACCTACCAAGTTTGACATCATTGAAGGGGGTAACTCTATCCTGCAGGGTCAAATTCTCTTGACATAATTCCTGTTTTGGCTAGTGTTTCTTTACATTCAGTCATTATATGTTGAATATATGTTCAGGCATGCAGCTATGTCTAGCAAGTACCTTTCGATCTGAGCAGCCATTTTGGCAGCCACTCAGACCAGTCCGTACATAAAATCATCAGTTTAATCACCAACATATTTACACAATATTTTATAAAGCTGTCATCATGTTTCACCTAAGAAAAGACTATAAAATGTTTAGTGCCTTTAAAAGTCAGTGGTAAATACCCAAATGAATTTCTTCAAGGTCATTTCAGGTAATATTTTGGCAATTGTAACATGAACGACCATTCACTCTCTCGCTCTCACCAAGGAAAAATTTAGTTACCAGTTAGTCATGCCTTTTTTTGGGGGGGCGGGGGGTGCGGACTGGAGTACCCAGAGAAAACCCATGCATGCATGGACAGAACATGCAAACTCTACCCAGCAAGGTCCTGTAATGGGATTTGATCGGGTGACCTTCTTGCAAAGAGGCAACAGCTCTACTAACTGAGTCACCGTGCTGCCATTAACTGTCATATTTATAATTATTGGCTAAATGTCACAATAAATCATGATTAATTTTGTTTTTGCCAACATTGCTAAACCCTAAAAGCCATAAGAAGTTCAGATTCAGATGATCAATTTGTTTTAAGACAGCAAAACACAAAATGAACATGAAACTATAGAAGCTTGCTTCCTTCATTAACGAACAAAGATTCTTTAGGTTTCATGATGATTTATCAGGACCTCTTTGAGACTTTAATGTAATCATTATGATATATAATTGTTTCTTAGAGAATCTTTTTTTCCTTCACAGTTATGGAAATATCTTTGAGATGAATAAAAATATTTCTCTTGAACATAAATTTCATCAGGTACATCAAACAGAAGCCAAAAACTTTCCAAGTAAAGTGCTTATTGTTTTTCCAGTTTCCAAATAGTACATTTCTGCACGACTTCTCCTGTGTTTTCTGGGACTACACTCTGATGGACTGGAGTACCTCAGGCTGCTCCAAAGGAAATGCTTCAGATGGAGTTCTGAGATGTTTCTGCAACCACACCACCAATTTTGCTGCTCTCTGGGTGAATCTCACAGAACTGGAACATGACATATGTTTCGCCTTTATGTTGATGATGATGTTGGAGCCATTGTTTTTAGTCCTACAGGGAGGATTATGAGTATGCAGAAGCCCTGGGTGTGCTCTCCATTGTGGGACTTTCTGTTTCTATCCTGGCTTTGGTTATAACCATCGTCCACCACATTAAAGAGAAGTAAGATCCTGTTAGTAAAAAGTTCAATTTTTGTACTCTTTGTTGTGAAAATTGCTTTAAAAACTGAGTGTTTGAACTTTGCATTCAGTTTTTGTCAGAAGTCTCGAGAGCGACAAACCAACCTGAACTCCAAGATGTCTCTGCTTTGTATCTACACCAGCCTGCTGGCCTTCATCCTCACCTTTCTCTCTGGAGTCCAGAACTCCAGCCGTCAGAGCAACAATGGGGTAGAACCCAGCACAAAGAACACAATCCCAGACTCTGATCAACATGTAGAACCAGATCAGGGCTCATGCACGGCAGTGGCTGCTTTGCTGCACTACTTCCTGCTGGCCACCTTCTTGTGGAACAGCGTTTATGGCACCCAGCTGGTCCTGCTGGTCCGATCGATGCGCCGCAGTCTGCCATCGCACTGGACTCCTCTGAGTGTGGGAATCGGATGGGGTATGAAATTAAGATGAATTTGTGTCCTGAGACATTAGAACCAAAGAACAGAACGTAACGGAAACCATTCAGCTGTACAATGGCTGAAAAAAACCCCACAAGCTAAAAATAATACTGTGTTTGACCATTTTAGTTTAAAGAAAGAAGACGAAATTTAAAAAAAAATGTATTTTCAAGACAAAAGTATTTTTATGTTAGATATTTTCTAAATAAAATAACAACAAATATTTTGAGGAAACAGTAGTTTCTAAAACTTAAATGGTCATATTTACTTACTGTTTTCTGCCAGGAGTCCCGGCTGTCTTCATGGCGATCACACTGGGAGTGACCTACAGGGTGGACAATCCCCTTAGATACAGACAGGAAGAATTGTAGGTTTACTGCTAAGACTGGTTCTGGTTTTGTTCCTGTTCCAATCAGTTATAATCACTTGTTGGCCTTCTTCAGTCCATTCTTCAGAAGGTCCAGAATCTGATCAGTTGATCTGTTCTTCCTCCTTCAGCTGCTGGCTTGCTGCTCTGGATCACAACAAAGATTTCAGCTTTGGGAAACCAATGTTCTGGGCTTTCCTTCTGCCTATGGGCCTGATTCTGATCTACAACATCATTCTGCTAATTCTGACCTCTCTGACCACCTGCAGGGTTGATCCCAAGCTGACAAGGTAACAAACTGTCATCTTATTAGTTTACAGCACAGCTACACTCTCAGGAGGTAAAGCAGAAGAGAAACTATCTCGGTTTAATGTATGCCTCAACTTTATTTTTCCAAAACTCCACTCACAGATGAGTCCTCAGCTCATTACATTAAAAACATTTTTACAAACAAAGGAGATGTTTAAATGAATTGGAAAATAATATATAATAGGTGACATAAGTAAAAAAAAAACATAGTTCTGAAATATCAAACTGTTGACATTAAGAAATATTTAAAATTTTAGATGGTAACTGACCTTTTTTAAACAGTTTCAAGATCTAAAAAAAATTCACATTTCTACAAAAATTAATTATAAATTATTTGAAACCTGACAGTATCAATATATTTTCCTGAAAAAAAAAAACTATTGTAAAGTCATTACACATTTGGTTTTATGGATTAAGGATTTTTTAACAGATAGACCCCAACATTTTAAAGCCAGTGGTTTTAAATCAGGCAGTATTGTTTTGAATACTGGGTCCCACGAGGCCTAGTCTATTTTCTATTTACACCAATGAAATGACGTGTAACAATAATGGACTGACACTCTTTCAGTATGCAGACGATGGCCTGTTTGACTGATGAACACTCACTAACTACACACAGATAATTGTGAACACCATGAACATCTATTTGGAGATAGCTCATTGGAATGTGATGTTTCTAAAAGGACATGGGTCGTCATGTATCTGCAACCCCACACCCCCTCTCTGGGTCACTGAAGATGGAGGAGCAGGTGGTGGAAGAGGTCAATGCATTTAAAGGCGACCTATTATGAGGGCCCTAGAAAAAGTTAGGATCCATCTGTGGGCTATAATTTAATTCACAAAATGAATCTCAGATAACGAAATTTCACCTTTTCATTTCTGCCTGCTTTAGCTCTCTTCAGAACTGCTGTATGCATAATTTGCTATGGAAACCCCCTCCCAACATTTTGTTTACGTTAACTCCGTCCCCCAACATGGTAGAAGTTTCCAAAGTACTCCATGATGAAATTATTTACACAAACTACAACTTTCTTTGACAGTATTGCTAGAACATGCCATCAACAATAAAAATAAAATGAATCCAGACATTCTCAAAGTCGAACAGCCGAGTACTTTGTCATGTGACCATGTTGTAGACGGAGGCTGACATATTGATTTGGGGGAAATAGGACGAGTTCCCCTATGTGAAAAATAGGAAAAATGGTGAAAAGTTGCTGTAGGACTGCACTTCTCATGTAAAAAAAACCATTCAGAGATGTTTTTTTTCTAACTGCAAGAGTGAGGGGAGAGAAATAAGACACATGTTGTCATTCTGCCTCTGCAGACCTCCGTGCTTCTCCTTGTTTAAAAAGAATTGCCTCAATGTTTTGATTTAAAACACACTAAAACTGGCTAAAATGAAGAGTAAACACTCAAAACTACACACTGACTATAACATCCAAACGAGTTAAAAGCCACAGATCTAATTAATAAGGTCCCGCTCTCACTGGCTCTTCATTGCTGCCAATCTCCATTCAAATTTCACCTCTTTTTATTTTTTTCTTCCTGTAGATTTTTTACTGCTTGTCAGATAACTTTGAGCCTCAGTCAAAAAGGAGTTCTGGGGATTTATATTTTTTCGGTTTAAGAGAAAGATGAGACTGATGATGGACAGCGGTATTTTTTTCCATGAGATTACCATGTTTCCTGCTCCCTTCAGCTGCAACACGCTTACTTATTTTTTCAGAAAAAAATCTATACCCGCTTCTTCCTTTCAGGGTCACGGGGGTCACAGTGTGAGAGGTGGGGTACACCCTGGACAGGTCACTTTTTTTTTCAGAAAAAAAGCAAGACATGCCATTTATCGTAACTCTAGTTTTCTTCTCTTGACCTATCGACACAATTGAAAAACTGCTGTATAGTTTGAAGTCTCACAATGAGTTTTCCCCCATTAAAAAATGGAGGTTGAAATCACGTGACTGAATGACATCACGCCGACTTCCAGAGTCTCTGTTCTCAATGGCTACTGTAAAAACAGCAGAACAAACTTTCGTCCTGTGAAAAAGTGGGCGGAGCTCCACCTTAGGTTGCCAGGTGAGGAGCTGGGTTCTGGTTTAGGTGTGACTGGGATTTTGACGTCACAATAAGGTGGGAACTAAAACGTTTCCAGATACCTAAAATTACTTGTAATCAATGCTAAATAATGGCTACATTTTATTTATTTATTTTTAATTTATTTTTTTTTTTTTTTGGTGTTTGGACTGCTTCTGGTAGCAGCACAGACCCAGAAGTAAGTTTAAAAACATGAAAGAAGTTAAATTTGCATAATAGGTGCCCTTAAAGTACTTGGATTGACTGTCCTCACAACATGTAGACGAGGTATACAAATAAGCACAAGCACATGATTTTCCTGCCCTTATCCATCCATTATCTATACCCGCTTCTTCCTTTCAGGGTCACGGGGGTCACAGTGTGAGAGGTGGGGTACACCCTGGACAGGTCACAAGTCCATCACAGGACAACACATAGAGATAGACAACCGTTCACTCTCTCACTCACACCTAGGGACAATTTAGAGCTACCAGTTAACCTAACAGTCATGTGTTTGGTCTGTGGGAGGAAGCTGGAGTGCCCGGAGAGAACATGCTAACTCTACCCAGAAAGCTCCCTCTACTGTGATTTGAACCGGTGACCTTCTTGTTGAAAGGCATCAGCTCTACCAACTGTATTGGTCACTCATCGAGTCAGTCCTTACATCTTGTCATGGTACAAATTTTTTTATATAGAAAAGAACAAGACAAAAAAACTCACCAGAATCATTAAACTACCTCTGTTCCACCACACAATGCATCTTACTAAAATGCATAGTCATGCAGTACAAAGGAGAACAAGCGAGGATGTTTCATACCCTTTTACTGATCATTTGACCTTCTATCTTCAGGTAACCATTTTAGAGTACTCCTGGACAAGAAAAAACTTAAAAGAAATTTTTATTCCCACTGCAATCAACCTCTTAAATCAAGGAAAATAGTTGCAGATTTGCAGATTGTTATGGTTTTATGAGTAGGCAGGTGTTTAGTTATTTTATGATTATGTAAGAGGCTGGTGTTTTGTGTGTGAATTGTTTCATTATGTGGTTTAATGTTTCCTCCTGCAGCACAAACCGCTCGTCTCTGACCAAGAAGTTCCTTGTGAGTTTTTCTCTGGCCATCCTGTTGGGTTTGTCCTGGACTCTTGGGTACTTCGTCCTTGTCACATCAGGACAAGCCCACCTGGTCTTCAGCATCCTGTTCTGTGTCTGTACCACCACACAGGTACGATTAACTCCACCCATTTTACCTGGGCTTCACTGACATGTCATTTTACTCTGAAAGAGGAAAACAACCTTAGCAACTACCGAAAAAAGTTCAGGTTTTATGTAGCTGGAACACAAAGCATTACAACTAGAAACGTGTTTACTATAGTTTCCTTATTGGTTTTGGAGGATTAGTAGTTTCTGTTTCAAGGCCTGAAGCATTCAGAAGAAATTTTAGCAAACATTTATTCTGAGATTCTGAGGTCTCTAAAATCAAATCAAATTTATACAAACTTTTTCAAACAATGAGACAATTGGAAGAAAAATGCCACATCAGAATTTCTCTCTTTTATGTTTCTGTTTCAGGGATTCCAGATCTTTATCCTCTTCACGGCCAGAACTCGAAGCTTCAGAACTGCTGTGTTGACCTCAGTCCAGTACGTCTCCTCAGTCAGCACCCCGCTAAACTCTGCCAAGTACTATCTGTGGAAGAACTGGAATTCAAGCAGAACCTCTGAGACCTACAAAGACATCCTAAACCGAGAGACCAGCATGTAGAACCAGGACCAGGAATGAGAAACCAATCCGATTCCTGATGAGAACATAATCAGGATGAAACAAACTACGTCATCCAAGGACTTTAAATCTAAAAGTTTCTGAACAACATGGATCTGAAAATTATCAAATAACTCTTCTTTCAGTTTTTTATCCATCCATCCATCCATCCATCCATCCATCCATCCATCCATCCATCCATCCATCCATCCATCCATCCATCCATCCATCCATGTATTTTCTTCTGCTTATCGGGTCACAAAGGCAGCAGTCAGAGAGACCCAGACTTCTCTCTCCCCAGCCACTTGGGCCTGCTCCTCTTAGTGGATCCAAAGGTGTTCCCAGGCTGGCTGAGAAGCATAGTCGCTCCAGCGTGTCCTGTAGCCGAGGATTATACCACCAAGGTCCACACCTTCAACCACTGCCCATCACACACTGCACCTGACCCCTGAGCCCAGGGGGATCCACGTTTCCTCTTCGGGCTTTCGCCCTCCGCAGGTGAAAGCCCAGCCACAAGGCACTCGCCACTATGCCCCACCTCCAGGCCTGGCTCCAAGGTGGGGCCCTGGTGACCCGTGTCTGGGGGAGGGAACACTAAATCCAATGTTGACACTCAGGGGTCTTTGAGCTGCACTTTGTCTGATCCCTCACCTAGGATCTGTTTGCCTTGGGTGACCCTACTGTGGGCATGAATCCCCTGACAACATAGCTCCTAGGACCATTGCGACACTCAAACCTCTCCACCACGATAAGGTGGCAGCCCAGGGAGATGGAGAGTTTTTATTATTATTATTATTTTAAAATCAATCAACATTTAATTGGTTATTTTCATTCAAAAGAATCCTGATGATTCAATTTATTATGTTTTATTATGAGCCCCGCAGGTAAAGCGTAAGCGGGAGTCATATTGTTTTCGTACTGTTTATTTTATTTTTTTCTCCAGAGACTTTTGGTCAACCGTAGCACAAAAACGGCTGCACAAATCAAAATGAAATTTGGCAGGATTGTAGATGAGTCTGACCTACACTGCGCCAGCTAACGGTTTTACAATAGACCCCATATTTGAGGAGGGGGCTCTATCCATAGAGGGCGAGTTTGGACATGCAAAAATGCTTATAATTCAGAAACTGTTCAACATAAGAGCTTCAGATTTATTTTGTTTTTTAGCTCCTATGAAGCTCTATCCATCCCTACCCACACCAATAAGTGCCCCCCCCCGGACCCCCAATTTATCTGAAAAGGGGGTATCTGGACATTCAAAAATGGCTATAGTTCAAAAACCATTAAACATAGGAGCTTCAGATTTTCGTTGGTTGTTTAGCTCTGATGAGGGGCTTTCCACCAGGTTAACCAATGCCCCCATCCCTCCAAAAAAAGACTGCCACCCAAACCACTACAATTTTTGGATGCATCTGGTAGCATGACATTTATTAGGAATAAAGACTTCTGAGTTCTGGTGCATTTCTGCGTGTGGGGGTCATCATGTTACCGCTATGCGGTATCTAGTTGTGTTTTTTGGAGACTTTTGGTCAACTGCAGCACAAAAACGGCTGCACTGATCAACATGAAATTTGGCAGGACTGTAGATGAGTCTGACCTACACTGCGCCAGCCAACGGTTTTACGATAGACCCCATATTTGAAGAGGGGGCTCTATCCAAAAAGGGTGAGTCTGGACATGCAAAAATGCTTATAACTCAGAAACTGTTCAATACAAGAGCTTCAGATTTCTTTTGTTGTTTAGCTCTGATGAAGCTCTATCCATAAGGCCCACCAATCAGTGCCCCCCCAGACCCCCAATTTATCTGAAAAGGCGGTATCTGGACATACAAAAATGGTTATAGTTCAAAAACTATTAAACATAGGAGCTTCAGATTTTTGTTGGTTGTTTAGCTCTGATGAGGGACAATCCATCATGTCAACCAATGTCCCCCCACCCCCCACGTTAAAAAAGACCCCCACCCAAACCACTACAATTTTGGGATGCAACCAGTAGCATGACATTTATTAGGAATAAAGACTTCTGAGTTCTGATGCATTTCTGCATGCGGGGGTCATTATGTTACCGCTATGCGGTATCTAGTTTAATCAGAATGATTGACAGATGTTACAGAAGTATCAACATTTATAAATGCATTACTGGTTTTAATGATCAAAAAAATTAGTATCAATTTTAGGGATAATTCAGGATTTTGAAGCCTAAAATTATGTTGTTTTTTTCTACAGTTTGTTTATGATTATGTAAAATAAACTTTGATGACTTTTTACCCATCTGTACAGACAGCATAAATAATATATTTTGAACTATGTAAAAGGTCCAAAATGCTTTAAAATGCTTTAATACTGGTGTTTTAATCAGACTGAATTAAATTTGATTGTTTTTATAAATTTAAAAATTCAACTGTTCAACTGTTCTCGTAAGAAGTAAATCTTCACATTTATTCCTACACATGACTTTTTATACCTTAAACTGACTTTTGAATAAACTCTTATTCCTAAGGTCATCTATCTTTTAATACCCACACCATTTTTATTTGGTGTTTTTATTATTTGCAGTGAACATTAATGAGGAAAACAAGTGTGTAAATCAGGTTTAACCAGCTTTAAAAAAAAACACAAGTTTTCTTAATTAGAATGTACTATGCTATTGCCTGAAGCCTGTTTTCAAATCTAATATTTCAAAAGGCACAAACTGTCACCGGCCCAAGTGTTACACATTAAACAAAATATAACATTGAAACAAATAATACAAAAAAATGAAAAAAAAAAAAAAAAACCAGACATAAAATCTAATTTACAAAATGCTAAACAGTCATGTGTCATGCATTAATAGTAATGAGTACAAATAAGTTTTTTCACCAAAAGTCAAAGCCTGTCTGTAATGAAAGACATCATATACGCAGCATATTTAAGTTCTGAAAATTTACTGCTACACACACACACTAGGGCTGCCATGATTAGTTGACGACCAATCGACTATTAAAATAGTCAATAACATTTAATAGTCGATTAGTCTTTTTTTCACTTTGTTTTTCTCTCCAAACTGCTTTGACACCTTCCACTGCCACATCGGCCTTTCTGTCCTTGATGCACATGCACAGTAGTGGTAACTGGGCTAGGCCATGGATGTTACAAGACATTATACAGACAGGCTCTGGTATCATGGCTACCTGGTAACGGAGCTGAAAAGTGTGGGATCATTTTAAGAAAATGAAAGAGAAACCTGTGTAATGCAATATCTGCAGAGCAGAACTAGCCATCCACAGCAATTATTTTTAGTTAGTGTCACAGACCATTGCAAAGTTTATCTGATGATTGTTTTGGATTATATTTTTTGTCACAGACCATTGCAAAGTTTATCTGATGATTGTTTTGGATTGTATTTTATCTTTTTTTTTTTGTATTTTGGGTTCTTTATTTTACATTTGGTGTTTTAGATTGAGCATGTTTTTCTATTACTCAACTCATCATGATAATCTGCTGGTAATTGCTTCCTCTCCCTGAACTGAATTGCTGGATTCTCATTGGCTGGGAGAATGAGTCCCATGCCCTCTTAAGCTGGACAATTAAAACCAGGTGGGAGGGTTGGAAGAGAGGGAGGACCCATCCCACTGCTCAGCTCCTCCAAACCTGGTCAACCTGTCAACCCTGCAGTGAGGCGGCTCGGTGTGGTCTTTGATTCAACTCTCACAATTGTTCAACTAAAGGAAAGTAATTATTATCCTCCTGGGCACATYVGCCCATTTTGGGTATGATTGGTCGGCTCCTTAGTTCCTACTACTGTTTTGCAGAGCACAAGTGAGAGCACAGGACGTGGGTGTGCAGCTGGAACGTGCAGGCTCTGAAAGGACCAACCATAACTGGGTTCATTGGAGTGGAGATCTAGCAGCTGGCCTCCATACAGGTGGATAGGTGGATGGAACAGTTTCCTGCCAGGACTGCGTGGTGATCTCCCCCTGCTGGTGTGGTGACAGACTTTAAATGAAAACCATGAGCTGAACTGAGCTGACCTGTGGGGATTGGAGACTTGGACTGTTTGTTGTTTTTGGGTAACCTGTTTATTCCTTTTGCAGATTTTTCTCTTTCAGAGATTGTTTTATTCAATTTTTACCTAGGTTTTTCTTAATTGTAGTTTTTACAAATAAATGTGAATTTCACTTTTAAACCAATTATATTCTCCACTCTTCATTGTGATTGTGTGACGGGAAAACTAACAGATTGTAAGAAAGCAGTTAAAAGCTGTGACATCTGTTTGGCGTTGTTGGAAGGGTTTTCCTCTCCATACTTCACAGTGAAGAATGGATAATGAAATGCAAAGAGATCAGGCTGGGATGAGTAACCCACAACAGCAAAGTAATACAACAACCCATTCCTTGCCCCCAAGTTCTCCTGTTGTAAATGCAATGATGCTTCCATGGTTTATGGGAGTCCCTTGGATCCCAAGGTTTAGTGGTGATGTAACTAAAGTGAGGTTTTCAGAATGGAAATCACAAAGGCAGGCAATGTTGAGGGCACAGGGGCTAAATGAGGAGCAAAAGGTTGACTTCATCATTGGGGCATTGGAAGGTGAAGCAAAGAGGGAAGTTCAATTGTTGGATTCAGCAATAAAACAGTCTAGTGGAGTCATACATGAAGAACTGGCAACATTATATGGCTGTATAACCCCTCTTGCTCAACAGTGAGCCTTATTAGTGTTACCAGCAGGAAAGTGTCATAGTCTGTATTTATTCTCCTTGGTTTTCCTAGTGTTTTCTATGTTCCCCAGTGTTTCTCTGCCCAGCTGCTCCTTGTCAGTCTGGTTGTCACCCTTGTGTTTCTCCTCAGGTGTTTTCTGTTCAGTCATTAGTTGTCAGTGTATTTAAGCCCTGTCCTGTCTCAGTCTTGTGTCGGATCATTGTTCTGTTCTGTTGTGTTTCTGTGAGTCTCATGCTCTGTACCTTGTTCCTCTGCCTGAGCGGTCCCTCTGTGAATTTGTAAGTTTGCTGCCATCAGCCCTCTTTTTGTTATTTAAATAAATCCTTTTTTGTTCCTTTTTGAAACCTGCCTGCGCCCTGGATCCGTTCCTGTTAAAACCTGATAGAATGATCCGACCACGCACCCAGCCTGCAGGCAAAGGTTTTTTGGTCTGCCCTTCCAAGAGGCAGATGATTTTTTCCGCCACCACCTCAACTCCACACGACCAGTTTGA